CCACCCCACCCCTGTGCCCCACCCACAGACCCGGTGGGTGTGCGGGTTAGGAGGCCCTGGGACCTCTGTGTCCAGGCTGGCAGGTGGGCAGAAATTCACAGCCCAGCTTGGGTTCCATCAGGCCCGGGTGTGGATTTCAACTCCTGGCATGGCCTCTGGGAGGAGGTGGGAAGGAGGGGGTCTGGTGTGCCGCCTTGGAGGCCTGTGGGGGAGGGGAGTATGTATCCTGCACCTGCTGACTGATCCTTGGTCTGCAGAGTCCCCAGCCCCAAGTTGTCCTCTTTAGGACTGCACCTAGTTTCCTTCCTCTCCCCAAGTAGAGTACACTGGTGTGACCTTATGGGGGTGGGGGCAGAGACTCCCCAGGGAGATACAGGGGGCGGCGATGTCTCCCAGTGGGTGTTGCAGCTTCTCACCGGGCCAGCGCCTTGCTTCTTCCGCCACCCCAACTGCGCAGGCTGGCTGCAGGGCCCCGGCCAGGCCCCTGGCCGGTGGCACGGATGGTTCTGTAAGGAGGCTTTGTCCTTTAGCCTCTCATTTGGCAAACTCCTCTGGGACTGGGAGATGGGCGGGCGGGGAGAAACACGGGTGTGAGCGGAGGCCACAGAGTTCCAGCAGAGAGAGGGTTACTGCTGGGTTGCTTGGTTCCCAGTTGCTCGGAGCCAGCGTAGCCGTGTGCAGATTTGTGTGTGTGTAGGGCAGGGGGGGACGGTGAGAGAGGGGTGCCTTGAGGGACCAGCAGCTCCTCACAGAGCTGCTCTGCATCCTGGTGCCGGCCAGACCCACTCCCAGCTACCAGGGAGCCTCTGCCACCACCGTCGCCGCCTCCACTACCACCCGGCTTCTCAGAATGGGCAGCTGTTGCCATCGGCTGTCCCCAGGAGGGCAGGCTCGGGTCTGCTCTTGTGCTTCGATCAAGATGTGGTAGCCTGTCTCCCTGCACCCCTTAAGCCCGATAAAGGGAGTTGGCTCTTTCGGGACCAGCTCAAGCGCCTCCCCCAGGCCAGGAGCCCGCTGGAAAGGCAGGGTGTGTGGGGGTCTACTTTTGCAAGGTGTCTTTGAGCCTTCTTGGCTGGCAAAGCGACGGACGGAGTAACTAGCTAGCTGCTGTCTGCTGGATGTTCCCCTTACTGCACGCCTGGCACTGCAGCCCTGAGTGTCCGTGAGCTCGTTTGAGATGTGGCCCTGAGGGCCGAAGTGACTTGCCCAAGGTCAAGAGTCCGAGTGAGGATTGGAACAGGTCAGTCCAGCCCCCAGACACTCCTTCGGGTCTTTTCCCCATTGTTTGCTAAGGACCCTGGGCTCTGGGAGACGCTGGCCTTTGCCTTTGGGGTTCTTCGTTTGGGAGTTGAGGGGCTTCTTGGGTGATTTTCTGTGACTTAACTTGTGTTTCCCCACCATCTCGGAAGGCCTCCGAGGTTGGCAGAGGCCAAAAAACGGCACCCCTCTTGCTGCCCCACCACCCCAGGATGATGCAGAGGGAAACCGGTGGGGTGCTAGGGGTTGGGGGGAGAAGGATGGGGAGATCCCAGAGGGCCTTGGTGTCTTCGAGGCACACCTCGCGCTTGTCCTAAGGCAGTGAGAACCAGCTTTGGAGGCAGTGGCGTGACACGGTGTTGACATCCGCTGATCAAGAACAATAGCGTTGGGGTGAGAGTAAGCACAAGAGCAAGGAAGCCCTTGTGGAGTTGTGTGGGAGTCTGGGCTCACACACTTGGTGGCAACTGGACCCAGCCAGGGGCAGTGTGAGTGGAGAGGAGGGAGGTGTTTAGGACATAATCCTGCAGAGCCGCCCAGCTCTGTGAAAGTCTGAGCTCTGGGGTCAGGAGACTGGACCAACAGCGGGTGCTCGGAAACCCTACCCCGGGTCCCAGGACCATTTCTACAGAACAGGTGGCCCTGGGCTCTGCCTCTACCAGCCGGCCACCTGGGAACCAACGTGTTTAACAACAGAGCTTCCTTCCTCACCTCCCCAATCTCTCTTGGGTTTGGAGATCTGTGGTTTTACCTGCCACCTGCCATGAGGGTAGGTGGAAGTCCCTGTTCCCCTGGCCTGTGCCATCCCCTGGCAATCTGAATTGGCCCCTGCCAGCAGCCAAGAAGGCATAGGATTTGGCAGGAGGTTAGAGGTGATTTCCTGCTGAGGGCTGGGTCTTCCTGCCAGGTGGGTATTTACAAACACAGTCGCTCACCTGGCAACACCAGCGCTGCTGATTCCTCAGGGTGCCCGCCACCTCTACAGTGCTGTTGCCAGGAGAGCCTCTTTGGGCGTGGAAGGAGGCAGCTGTGGTCCAGACCCCAGGGACCACTGAGCGCAAGCCAGACCTCCACTGTGTTGAGAGAGTGGAGATCGGAAGAGGCCAGCGCTTGGTGAAGTCAAGGAGACCTGACTCCCAGGCTTAGACTCTGCCCTGGACCGTGCCAAGTCCTTAAACTGTCCTCAGAGGACCCCCAACTCCAAGCTCCGCCCTGCCGTGGCTCCCGAGGCTGCTAACAAAACAAAACAGCACAGAGTAAATGCCCGTAGTCCTGACTCTGAGAGGGAGCCTGGAATCACGAGCCCCTCTGGCCACTGCCCAGCCAGGGGCCACACAGGCCCAGGCTCAGGGCCGGAGGAGCTGCAGGCTTTCCGGCACCGGGTACAATGGGCTTTAAGAAGTGTGTGGGGAAACGTTATCGAGAGATGGTGGAACTCCTCCACAGACTTCCCGAGGCCTCCTCTGAGGAGTCTGCTGCCCTTTCCCTGCCGCCCTCCATCCCCAGGCCGGTGGGCTTCCTGATGTGAGGTCAGGAGAGGGAGCTCACTCTCAGTGTTGGTAGACAAGGATGACTCACCTGACCTGCTAAGCACCCTCCCAACCCCTCCCATTCGCAGGCCTGTGGTCCCCGAGATGCCACCTCCCGCAGAATCCGGCCAGGGCTGCTTTGACAAGGTCTAGAGTTGGTTACTATGGGTTCAGGTCCAGAGCCGCAGAGACAAAGGGCTGTGGACCTGGCTTCTGTGTTGACGTGGGTGGGGTGGCCACGATACAACCAAGGGAATGACTTTGGAGACCCTCGTCCTTACAGTGTGCTGGCCCGTGACAGGGAGCCTCCGAGGAGGCACTTCTGTGTTTCCAGCATGCACAGAGCAGTTGGGAGGATCAGACCGCACGGTGGGTGCGTAGGCAAGGTCTCCCAGGCATCAGGAACACAGGGCTTTGAGACAAGTCCCGTGTTCCCCTCATTGCGATGCCTTGGTGACCACTGGATGCTCTGCATATCCAAGGAGCCAGCCTCACAGACTTGGGATGCTGACAGGTGCACATATTTTTTCAGGCTGCTGACTTTGTTTCTTGAATAGGCTCTCCAGTTCCCTACATGCTCCCTGCTCTAGGTCAAGGTCAACCTTTGCCTGTGGTACCCTTTCCTCTTTATCCCCCAGCCTCAGTCTCACACTCACTTCTGACCAAAGGCCTGCTCTGACACCCTGCCCCTGAGGTGGGCAGGCATCTCTGACCACAGTGAGCAGGTGGGACTGTGGGCAGGCCAACATCTGGTTTGTCCCCGTGCCCAATGCTGGGCAAGGCAGAGCAGGGGCTGCATGAGGGTCCGGCCAAGGGATGAATGGGCGGGTCACTCCTTCACAGGTGGTGCTCTGTGAAAACCCCAGTTGTACACCAAATGCTGCAGTGTCCACTCTCTCGTGCAGCTCTGGGTCTGTGTGCAGTTTCCAGGGTCATGGTGGTGAGGTGTCCACCCCAAGTTCTCTCTACAGCTTTTGAGGATATAGATACACATAGCTGAGCCCTTCAGGGCGGGACAAGGCCCTTTTGGTGGCTCGGCCCATTGAGTCAGTTCAGTCTGTTACAGGAGAAGACAGTCAGCTCAAGGCCCCCACCATGGTCTGGTGGTCCTGCCTGGCCTTCCCACGGTTAGGGAGTCATTTCTCTGATAGACCTGGCTGTGACTTGATCTCCCCATCTGTGTGTCTCAAGAAGGCGGATTGGCTGCCTTCCCAGAGTCCTTCCTAAATCAAGTATGCCTTGGTGGGTTCACTGTGGCCCATAGCTTGGCTTCAGGTTCGCCGACGTCGGATGTTACACTGATTGGTTAGCCAGGGTGGGTGATTCCTGTGAGGAGGCAGCTGGGGATCCTGGATTTCCGGCTCAGTGAGCTCAGTGAGAATCCTATTCTGCCTTGCTGGGTGCTCACTTTCACTGCTCCACTGGGTGTCTGGTGAGTGACCCTGGGACTCAGGCAACCTGCAGTGCTAGCTGTTGAATACGAGCCCTTCTGTGGGACCACAGTGCCTGGGCCCAGACCCAACTACCCAGGGTTTAGACGTGCCTCGGCCCCTTCCTGTTCCTGGGGTGGAGCAGCCACCTTAGTCTGGCCAGCATATCCCTAAGCCTGGGCCTGCCCGGCCTAGTGTGAGGAGCTCCCCATACTGAGCTGTACTCCCCCAGTTGTCGCTGGGGAAGCACACAGTCAGAGCAATGGGCTCAGCCTAAGTGAAGGAGGAGAATGGACTTGATCCAAGGAACGTTGCATTTTCTGCCTCCGGTGACTTTGCACACTGCTGACCTCATCTCCCAGGTGGTGATGTCACGAGGAAGCACCAAGGCCACTTCCTGGGGTTTCAGCAGTTCTCTCCTTCCCGAGGAGCCAAGCACTCGCTGTTTGGCGCCTATCCTACAGCTGCAAAGTGCCTACTACTGCGTTTCTCCTTGTTTCCTCCCAAAAGGGAGAGCCACCACCAGACTTCCAGAGGCCGAGGGCCTGCGACGAGGCAGCGTGTGGGTGGGAACGGTGGCCTGGAGCCCTCCCACTGTGTGGCACCGGGGGACTGTCCACTTCGGCTAACCCCCACCCCCAGCCTGCCCTGTGGTATGCTTGGGCAAGGCCTGTGTGCCGCCCACGATCCAGGAGGGAGAGGTGAGAGGAAAGGCCCAGCAAGCCCCTCCCAGCCACCCTGTGGAGGCCCCTGTCCCTCACACCGCCCCTCCTGTTTCCCCCAGAGTCTGTCTTCTCGCTCCTGGAGAAGATGCAGACCCAGGAGATCCTGAGGATGCTGCGGCTGCCCGAGCTGGGCGACTTGGGGCAGTTCTGCCGCAGCCTTTCCGCCACCACCCTCGTGAGCATGGGTGCCCTGGCTGCCATCCTCGCCTACTGGTTCACTCACCGGCCAAAGGCCGTGCAACCACCATGCGACCTCCTGAAGCAGTCGGAGGAAGTGGAGGTGAGCAGGGTGGGGACAATGAAAGACTGCCCAGAAAGGGTGGGCCTCCTGGAGTGGGGGTGGGGGGAGTCAAATCCTGCCATTTCTGGCTCAAGGGATCTTGGATGGCCCATAGAATCTGTTCCCATCCCAGAAACCCTGCAAGTGGCCTTGAGCAAGATCTGCTACCAGGTACTCCCGGGGAACAAAGCCTGACACAGCTTTTCACTGGGCCTCAGCTGCCTGGGGCCTTAGCCCATGGACACGTCTGTCTGAGGTCCAAGCAGGTGGTCAAGGGACCATCAAGCGAATTCCCTCCCATACTCTTCCTGGCCTGGTATTGGGGTCCTGAGTTGAGCCCAACCCTAGAGCCCTGCCCTCCCAGAGCACACAGACTCACTGGGTGGCACTGAGGAGGGGAAGGCAGTGCAGAGGGCATTCCAAGCCAGGACTGGTAGGTCTGCTGGGATGGGTTTACTGAGCTCAGGGACTCTGTTTGCCGTTTTTTCCTACCAAACTTCAGTTCTGTTCATTTCAAATGGGTAAAATACACAGTTCAAAGCGAATGAGAGGACATTCCCCGACAAGCCCCCACTTTCTTCATGTTGAGGGCTGCCCTAGCCATGAGCAAATGTACTGCTTGCTCTTCCACCCCCTTTTAAATGACATCATGCTGTCATACGCTGTTCTGCACATTCACTATTTCCTTGTGGGAAATGTATCCTGGTGGTCCTAAGTATGGCAGGGTCTTGGCTGAGAGGGGAGGGTGCAGATCAGACTAGAGGATCTCGGGGCATTCTTCCAGCAGAGGAACTGGTGTGTGTGAAAGGACAGGTGCGTGATAACACGCAGGGGAGCCTTGGGAAATGGTGATTCCTTTGGGATGGCTGGTTAGTAGAGAGTGACTGATGAGCTGCTGGCAGCCGGGGGATGAGAACAGCCATTGGTGACAAACAGCCCTGAGCTTGAGCCTGTCTGTGCCTCCTATTAGCTTGACAGCCCTTGGTCTTAATTCTCTGAGCGTCAATGGGCTCAACTGCAAAGTGGATAATAAAAAGAATGTCTGCTGCCGATGGTTGTGCTGAGGATTTGGTCAGATAATGCAGAGGAGGCACTAAGAATAGTTATTTTTAGTAAGCATATATGATTATAACTCCACGGGGGAAATATTGAATGATGCAGAACATATCCAAAGTCAACAGAAGGAATAGAAGAGTTGCTGTACCAAAAAGAACTAATCGACATTCAGCCATTTCAAGAGGTGCCATACGGTCAAGAACCAGCGATGTGCTGAAGGAAGAAGTCCAAGTCCCACTTAAGGCTGTAGCCATAAACAAGGCTCCAGGGATTGACGGAATATCCATGGAATTGATTCAATAAGCTGATGACGAAGCACTGGACGCACTCACTTGTCTATGCTAAGAAGTTTGGAAGACGGATAGCTGTCCAACAGACTGGAAGAGATCCATAGGTGTGCCCATTCCAAAGAAAGATGACCCACCAGAATGTGCACATTATAGAACGATATGATTTGACATCGCATGCAAGTAAAATTTTGCCAAACTTAAATCAATAGCAGTTGCAGCTGTATATCAACAAGGGACTGTCAGAAATTGAAACTGAATCAGAAACGGATAAGGCACACGGGATCTCATTGCGGCATCAGATGGAGCTTGGCTGAAAATGGAATACCCCCAAAGTGCTTACTCGTGTTTTATTGACTATGCAAAGGCATTTGACTGTGTGGATCATAACAAACATGGAGAAGAACAGGAATTCCGGCACACTTCCTTGTGCTCCCGTGGAGCCAGTACAAACAGAGCAAGGAAATCCTGAGCGGTGTTTAAAGTCAGGAGTGTTATGCATCCGGGTTGTGCCCTTTCTATACTAATTCAGACTGCAAACGGAGTAAATAATCCAAGAAACTGGACCATAGGAAGAAGAGCAAGTGCATGGGATCAGGCTTATTAGCAACCTGAGACATGCAGATGACACAGCCATGCTGCTGACGGTGAGAAAGGGCTGAGGACTTGAAGCACTTGCTCATGAAGATCAATTAAATAGATCTGTGTGTGTATATACATATCCTATATATATACATGATCCTCACACTGGATCAATAGACACCATCGTGGTAGATGGAGGAAAGATTGAAGTTGTTGAGGATTTTGTTTTATTTTTTCTTATTCGTATTCACAATCAGTGCTCACGGAAGCAGCACTCAAGATAAGCTATCAAATGATGAATCGCATTGGGCGTACAGGCTGCACAAGACTTCTTTAAAGTGTTCAGAAGCAAGGATGTCCCTTTGAAGCCTAAGGTGAACCTGACCCTAGCCATGATACCTTTGTCTTGTCCATGTGAAATTTGGACAGTGAATAAGGAAAACTAAAGGAGAATTGATGGGTTTGGAGTCTGGTGTCGACCAAGATTACTGGAAGTACTGGGAACTGCCAGAAGAACAAACGAATGTATCTAGGAAGACGTACAGCCAGAATAGTCCTTTTAGAAGTCTCACATACTTCGGACATGTTGTCAGGAGAGACCAGTCCCTGGAAAAGGACATCATGCTTGGTAAAGTCGAAGTTGGGGGGGAGGGGGGAGCGGAAGCCTGACCATCGAGGTGATGGCAGCAACAACGGGCTCACGCATAACAATCGTGAGGGTGGTGCGGGACCAGGCTGTGTTCCGTTCTGTTGTGGACAGGGTCGCTGTGCGCTGGAACTGACTGAACGGCACATAAAACTGTTAGTCACCTGGAAAAGCCAGCCAAGACAGACTCACGTGAATTGGACCAGGACTCACAAAGTGGAAGACTGGATTTACATGGGGGGTATTCAGTAACCGTGGACAATTTATAGTTTTTTGGAAGGGTGGTCATGGGAGGGACCAGGGGATGAAAGACACAAGAGTAGAGGCCATGGTGGTCTGGACAGAGCCTTAGTGACCAGAGGGAATGGCTAAGGAGTGGCCCTGGCCTAGTGTGTGTCTTGCAGAATGAGTCACCTAGTGGGTCTAGCTGGGGGAATAGGATCCTAGACACAGCTAAGGCCTCCCTTCCCGGGAAGATTGAGCTCTCCCTTGCGTGGACCCCAGGGATGAGGAAGCCAGAGTGGCTGGAGAGCAGTAGCACAGGGTGTGTGTGTCAGGAAATGAGAGGAGGGAGGTCCAAGGGCCCCGGAGCTTGTACACTTGTAGAGAGCCTGGATGCAATATATGATGAGAAGCAGAAGTCAGATACCAGCTTAAAGCCCTCCCCGATTCCCCATTGTTTTCAAGCTGAAGTCAAGAGTCCTGGCCTTGATCTGTACTCGCTCTGGCCTCCTTTACTACCACTGCCTCCGGAAGCTCCTCCCTCACCCCACCCCGCCCCGGCCATCTTTGTTCCCCAGTCTGCCTTTGCAGCCTTCAAAACCCAGTGCAGTGGCCACGTGCCCTGCTCCTGGCACAGTCTCTTGTGGTGTCGTTTCCGTAACCCGGGATGCTGGCCCTGTCTGACTGTGTGAGTCCCAGCTCCGTACATGGAGTGGTGCTCGGGACACATGGGTCAAATGTAACTTTCAACTCCCCACCCTTTGAGAGCTGCTTGTGGTTTTGAATTTGGCCCTTGGCCCTATGGCTCTTGTGGACTTTTTCCCTCAGACCTGATGTTCCAGGAAGCAGCCGGCCTAGGGCCAGTGGAGTACAGCCCAATCTGAGCATGCTCAAGGGAGAGGCGAAGCTGTGGCCCTCTGGGGTTGGGGAACAAGAGGAGGGGCTGGAGGGTGGGGAGGGGAGGCCTCCGGGAAAGAAGCCCTGTGTCCACACCCCCTTCATCCTGCCATGGGAGGAGGAGCCTGTCCTCCTGAGCCTGCCAGGCCTCCTGCTTCTGGGAAAGCACCTACACAGTCCTCAAACTAATTCACACTATGATGTGAATGATGGATGGCAGCCTTCTTAGCCCTCACGGACTGCCTCCAAATACATTTTAACAACAGATAATGAGATGGGGAGCTCTTGGCAGATGGACCCTAATGCTGTGTGTGTGTGTGTGTTTGACTCCAGCCAACACGCCCCTCTGTGCTCTTTGAATGGACTTCAGGTGTGGGGGGGAAAGGCCAGCCCCCCCACAACTAATCACGGGTTCGATAGGTGCAATTATACGTTATACGATAAAGGTTACAGTAAAGTCATAGAGCGCATGAGAGATTGAAATAATGGAGTCAGGCACAATTCATGGTAGCATGCTCACGTCCTGCATGCCCATGAGCTGGGTCCGCACACAGCGTGGGACAGGTGAGGTGGGGCGGACACTGCCGGAGAGAGCCAGTTGGCTGGAGATCAATATTCCATTTCCGCCAGCGATTTTACCTTACTAATTACAAATGGTGAATCTGGACCATAACTAGATACTGCTTGTTTGAGATCTTTCAGTCGCTTAAAGGTAAAGGCAGTATACCGCCATTCTTGATTCCCTTCGGGGTGCTGCTCTCAGGCTCCCTGTCTATAACTCTAATGGGATAAGCCATTCTGAATTCTAAATCTGCTTTGGGCTATACTCCTCTCCACCCGTGAGAGCAAAGGTGCCTTCCTACTCCTTGCCTCTTTGCTTCTCACTTCCCCAGCCTCACCTTCTATGTTAAATCTCTCCATTTGCATTTCTTTGGACCTAACCTCATTACCTCCAGCACTGGCTTGCTTGATAGTATTGTGATCCCCTAGGATATACTCTGGTGGTGGCACAGATGCTTCTAGCCTGCTATCTCCTTCTGATTCAGACTTTGTTTTCTCAGCTACACCTCAAATCTTCTCATCTGACTGGTACTCATTCTGCCTGCTTCTCACCTGATTTAAGTCAGCGTAGCTTAGAGGCTTCTCACTGCTCTGCTGGTCTTGTTCCTTTGCTCTCTCACCCTGCTGCAGCTCCAACACTGTTTTAATCTGCACCCACAGCACCCAGGTCTCCTTGGGTATGCTCTGTCCTTCCCTGTAGGCTTTTCTTAAGTTAATGGCTACCTTATCCTAGATCTCCAAATCAAAGGTTCCTGACTCCGGAAAAGAAGGATTAACTTTCTTTACCACTTGAAGAAAAGACACTCTCACTCTCTTATTCATGACCATTACATTTTGTTTCTTCAGGAGGTGGCAAAGTGTGACACTGTACTCTGTATCCTTGCTCTTTGCCTGACCCATATCTCACTCAGACTAAAAAACACACTTAAAAAAATAAACTCAAAAAAATTTTTTCCCGATTCACCCTCTGTCCGATGAGGCCATACAATTGTTACCAGGATATAACTCAAAAGAGTTCTTTTCCTACAGGGCCCCACGTTGGGTGCCATATGTGAGGGTACCAGCCCCTAACACATCACCACAGTCCGGTAGGCGCAATTGTACCGCGATAATAAGTAAAGATTATAGTAAAGTCATAGAGAGCATGAGAGAAGAGAGATTGAAATAATGGAGTCGGACACAATTCATGGTCCCATGCTCATCTCAGCCTCACTTGGTGGTCCACGTGGGCAGAAAGAGAGAGAGAGATTTATTGCTAAGCAAGGCTTTTATATTCTCTGGGGACATGCAAGCCCCTAATTGCAGGTGAAGACATACGCCACAGGAAAGAGCTGTGCTATAGGTAATACAGTAATGGGAAGGGGTGATCTAGGGGTATCCACGTAATACGAAGGGGAGGTATTGGGGGTACACATGTGACAAGATGGGCGGACCCTAGATTCAGGATGGCAGCCTAACTTTGGATGTCACTGAGCAGGTTTGACCTGTTCTCTGGCTCACTATAAAAACCATTATCAGTAGGGTGTAAGCTCACCCTGCAGGGACCAAACTGATGGCCCCAAGCCTTTAGGGAGAAGTAGTCCATTGTCCTTAACAGCAGGGAGTGGGCCCTACTTGTGGTGGGAGGAGACAGTAGTCTGGCAGCTGACTGCCTTCAGGGAGGTAACTTGACAATCATTTACCATTAGCTGCAAGCAGTGTCCTAAGTCTAACATATATTTGGGGAAGACGACTTGGGAGAAATCTTTCTGTTTCCCACATATGAAGGCATTCTCATCCACCTGGTCTGAAGGATCCCTGGGGACATAACCGCAAGGTCGGCAGTGTGAAACCACCAGTCTCTCCGCAAACAGAAAGATGGGGCCTTCTTCTCCTGTGAAGAGTTAGTCTCAGGAACTCACCAGGGCAGTTCTTACTTGTCCTGTAGGGTCACAATGAGTCAGCATCAACTCAATGGCCATTAGTTTGGTGTGTGTGTGTGTGTGTGTGTGTGTGTGCACCCCTAGGGTACTAGGCCCAGGTATGCATGCCAACTGAGATCGAGCTGGAGATAGCTACAGCTTGAGTGAGTTCAAGCCACATGCACTTGGCATTATATGTGTCTGGTGCCGGTGTGCACAGTCAGTGGGGGAGCGCACAAAGAGCATGTCCCCGTCCTGTCTGTGTGGAACAGGAGCGCATCCAACTTGTGTGCAGTTTGGGACATGCTGGTGCCTCTCCAGAAACCCTAAGCCTGCTTGAGCTGGCTTCTCTGGCTTGCCTTGTAGGGCAGTGCTGGGGCCCGGCGCTCCGTGATCGGGGGTAGTCCCCAGCTCCTCACCCACTACTATGATGATGCTCGGACCATGTACCAGGTGTTCCGCCGTGGGCTTAGCATCTCAGGTGAGGAGGACCTGTGAGGGGGGGTCCCTGGGGCAGAGCTCGGATGAGTGCAAGGGAGAGGATAGGCCCACTCAGTCCTGGGGACGGTGGAGGGGGGGCAGCTGGGAGGGGCTAAGCCACTCTTGGACCTCTTCCTGCCAGTCAGAGAAGCAGCTGTGTTATGAGGACACAGGGCTCCTCCCCACTGAGCCTCTGAGAGGTGTGTGCCAGGGCGCGGGGCCAGGAGAAAGTCAGCCTGAGCCCTCCTACCTCCCTGTGAAGGTGCAGTAGGGAACACCACCCAGGTCATGGTGGGCAACAAGCATTGTGTTGGTCCCTATTCCATGACCTCTTTGTCCTTGGAGGGGTGGCAGATTTAGTCCCTCCTGAGGAGCCCTGGTGGCACAGTGGCATAGTTACACTTGGGGCTGCTAACCACAAGGTCAGCAGTTTGAACCTACCAGCCCATCCACAGGAAAAAAAAAAAAGAGACTTTCTGCTCCTATAAAGAGCGACAGCCTCGGAAACCCACCAGGGCAGTACTGCTCTGCCCATAGGGCCGCTAGGAGGCAGAATGGACTTGTTAGCAGTGAGTTTCAGCAAGGCGGACACAGGCAGCCAAGGGGTGTATTCCTCAGCCCCTGGGTCACCCCACTGGCTGGGTGTCAATGGGCAGACAGTGGCATTCCCATCTTCCTCTCTGACACTGCGTGTGTCTCCGCAGGGAGCGGGCCTTGCCTCGGCTTCAGGAAGCCCAAGCAGCCTTACCAGTGGCTGTCCTACCAGGAGGTGAGTGATGAACTTGTGTTCCCAGGCAGACCTGGCCCTCAAGGGGTTTGTAGACATTTTGCCTGGATTGCAAGGGGTCAGTGTGCCTTACCTGGCCTGCCTTCCCAACTCTCAACCTCAGCCTGGCTGGGCTTCCAGCCTGCCTGGGAATGGGTGTGGGTATGGGATGGGGGCAGTTGGCGAGTTCTCAGACCTGCAGGGATTCCACGGGGGGTGGGGGAGGAATCTCCCTGCCCTGCTGAAGCGTCCTTGTGGTCACATCACTCTCTGGTGTCCATGTGCAGGTGGCTGACAGGGCTGAATTCCTGGGATCTGGGCTCCTCCAGCACAATTGTAAAGCATCTTCAGATCAGTTTATTGGCGTTTTTGCACAGAATCGACCAGAGGTGAGCATCTGCCGGAGCTGGCTTTAGAGTTCTCAGTGGAGTAGGGGATCCGGTACCTGGCAGGCTCCTGCTCCTCCTGTTTATATGGCCTCAGACAAGAGAGCAAAGGAAGGCCCTTGGTCCATGCCACTACCACCACCACCCCTGACTCTGCTCCAGAGCAGGACTAGACACCCCAGCCAAATTCCATCCACACACAAATGTTCCTAAGTCCCACCCTGGAGTCAAGAAGAAGAAAGCCATTGGGTAGAGGCCAATTCAGGCCCTAGATGTAGACATAGGACTTTGGGGGGGGGATTCCCTGAAGGCTGAGGGTGGGCAGTCATCACCCACTAATCCCACAGAACCCCTGCCCCATGCACAGGGCCAGAGCAGGGTCCTCTCTCCAGCACAGGACTCAGAGCAGAAACCCTGGGTGGCAGGGCTTAAGGGTGGTACATCCCAGAGAGCTTTTCTCCTCCCCTGCCCCCAACCCCTGTGTGTCTCCACAGTGGATCATCGCAGAGCTGGCCTGCTACACATATTCCATGGTGGTGGTCCCACTCTATGACACCCTGGGCCCTGGAGCCATCCACTACATCATCAACACAGGTGAGCCCTCTGTCTCCTGCCCACCTTTAGCCGACACCGCCCTTCTCCCCCCATCACTTCCAGCCTCCAGTTATACTGATTGTCTGACACTCATGTGAAGCCCTTTGTGCGCTCAGAGAACACGGGGCCTTCTTCTTGGACCCCTGATTCGACCTCCTGAGTACAGGCGGGCCCTATCCAGACTTTTCCTGAAGCCTCTTTCCACAGGGCAGGGCTGCCAAGAAAGAGCCACCCTCTGAGGTTCACAGAAGCTTGGGGTCGCTGCTAGGGTCAGGGGTGGAGTTAAATATCTCCCAGAGTGGGAACAGCTGAGTCTGGAACAAGGTAGCTGCAGAATCTGCCTGGGAAGGTTCCCTGGCCTTCTGCCCTGGGCTCTGAGTAGGATCATCCACACGCTCTTTATACAAGATATGACCCACACAGCCCATGGTACACATAGCACACAGTACACACAACCCTGAGTGTCCTCAACAATGGCACAACAGCTCATGGTACACACAACCATGGTACCTATAGCCATGATACACACGATACACACAGCCCATGGTGCACACAATCCTGGCACGCACAGGCTGTGACTCACACAGCCCTGGCACACACAGCCATAGGGCACACAATCCTGGCACACACAGGCTGTGAGTCACACAGCCCTGGCACACACAGCCATAGGGCACACAATCCTGGCACGCACAGGCTGTGACTCACACAGCCCTGGCACACACAGCCCAAGGTCCTCCTGCCCAGAGTCACGGCCCGTGTGTGCAGCGCCTGCGTGTCCTTGCCGTCTCCTGCAGCGGACATCAGCACCGTGATTGTGGACAAGCCCCCGAAGGCTGTGCTGCTGCTGGAGCACGTGGAGAAGAAGGAGATCCCAGGGCTCAAGCTGATCATTATCATGGAGCCGTTCGAGGAAGCCCTGAGAGAGCGCGGGCAGGAGTGCGGGGTGCTCCTTAAGTCCATGCAGGCTGTGGAGGTGAGCACCAGCTGCTGGGCCAGGGCTGCGGGGGCCACCAAGCTAGAGCAGCTGATCCTCTGCCCGTCTCACGCTCGGTGGTGGGTGTCTGTGACCCTCAGTGTGTGTCCGCACTGAGATAGCACAGGCCTTGCAAGAGCTGGTGTTCGTAGGCATCCTCTAGGAGCCAGGCTCAGTGGCTGGCACAGTTGATGGCACCAGGCACCAACAGGTGCACAGGAAGTGCCGCCCCCCACAGAGCTGCCCACACAGCCTCTGAGTGCCCTCACTCTCAGCTGGCTGCCAGCCTGTCTGTGCCCAAGCCCTGCAGACAGAAAGTCTAGGACTCCCGAAGAGGCTCTTATACATGGGTGTCACTCCCCCAGCAGCCCGCAGAGCTGGTCATTCCGTGCATGGCCTCCACAGACTCGCCAGGTCGGTGGCAATGTGTGGCCTGCTGGGACACAGAGCATCCTAGTCTTCAGGGATCAGTAATAGCTAATGCCCACTGTCCTGCTTAATAGAGGTCTCTGGGCCTTCCAGTCTCCCATCTCCCTGGCTGCCCCTCCTGTACCCATAATAGCAGTTCACTTACAACCCTCTATGGATTTTGCTACCACCTCTACACAGGCATCCCACAGCTGCCTCTCCAGCCCTGGCCTCTGTGCAGACTCCACCTCAGTGGTCTCTCCTTGGACATGCATCTAGGCCTGAGCTTCCCGAGGTTCCAGGCCCCCACCACACGCAGTTCAGACAGGGCGAGCAGGGGTGACGTGCACAGGAGAGAGATGGTAGTCTGACTTGAGGTGTTCACAGGACATCTGGGCACATGGTCAGGACAGAGTAGCTGGATGTGGGAGGCCAGGGCTAGAGGGACAGGCGGGACAGGGCAACCTGAACTCTTGGCACAGGCACACATGGACAATGTGGTGTGTAGTCTTGATTTTTTTTTTAACTGATGTGAGAACTTTTGAGCATTGAAAAACAATGTTGCCTTCTTCTCTTCTAGGACTGTGGCCAGGCGAATTATCATGCCCCTGTGGTAAGCTAATCTGCCAGCAGATTTTTACTGAGCAAGATGATGTGCTTGACAGCCTGCGCTCACAGAGCGTCCACTGTGCCCAGGGGCCAGGCGAGCTCCGCCGTGGTGACAGCAACCCCTGTGAGCACATCGGGGCATGCCTGCTCTGGCCCACAGGACTTCCGTGGGCTGAGGGTCCAGGGGTGGACCACAAATAGCATTCCCATGCTTGGGAGGGAGGTGGGG